ATTTTTGTTTTCAGCATATTACATTTCTCCAGCTCTCATCAAGGTATCCTTCTTATTCTCATCTACCTTTTGTTAATCAGGGTTTTTCATATCTTTTTTTTTAAATTATGCCCGAATAATGCTTATATTATGAATTAAATCCACTTTCCAGTTGTGGTTCTATATTTTATCCTTATCTTTTCTGCATGATATTGGAGTATCATAAGAAGAGAGAACTACGAGTTTATTCCCTTAAAAGTAAGTAATATTAATCTAAAACTAGAGTAATTTCTTTGATGAAGAAAGCATAGTCAACATATAATGGAGTGACTGACTATGGAATGGCTTTTCTATAAAACTGAAAATTATTTCTCTCTGACATGGAAAGATTCCCTTATGTAACTTAGCATTTCCTGGTTTATGTGATCTTATTCTGCATCTTCCTTTTTTTTTTTCTGTTATGTATTCTTCTTCTTTTCATTGATCACAGTGGTTATAAATTTAATGTTCCTATATTTGAAGTAAGTTCCTTAAATGGTCTGTTGGTCTCTGCAATGTCTTAATCTTTCGGGAGAATGGAAACCTTATCTAAGAAAATTTGATTGAAAGATGAATTGAGAATCTGTGAATATTTTAAGCAAAGGGTGGGCTTAACGAAATGTTCCATATTATGTAAATAATTCTTAATCTTTTAAACTTTTCAATAGTTCGATTATTCCTATTCATCCATAACCTATATCTGGGTATGTAAAAATGGAAGAGGATCATTATAGCCGAGGTTAATAATTTCCAACTCTTGAACTGATTTTTGTAATATAGGGCACGTTTTAAAGTACATGAACAATTACACGATTTTGTAACATGAAATGCACATAAATTAATATTCTCCATTGTTACAAAAACAGCTGTAAAATTGAAACATATGAGTTTGTTTTAAAATGTAATCAATTTCTGTTACGCAGTGTTATTTTTAATCACGTCTCCATCGCCTTATATGCTATAAGAGGGTTTTCCGGGGCCATAGAAGAAGTCAGAGAATCTCTGAAACCGGAACTCGAACTCGTAACTGTTTTATCATGATGAGCTCTGTCTGGTTACGTTTGGGGTCCTCGGACTGTGAATGAAGTGGGCCCCCTTACTATAAATGGTTTCCAGGGTAATATATAATACATTTACAGGTGCTCAGAAGAAGGCTCCCAATCATTCTAAAGCCATAAAAGAAAGTAAAAAAACTTTTTTGTTGAGTTTTGTGGAAATAAACGAATAGAAAATAATTATTTTCGTGGAAAAACATACCACGGTACTAGATAAAACAAAATAACGGTATTTAGTGCTTTCAAAGGCGGCCTCCCAATCATTACACGGCGATAAAAATGTATAAAATATTTCTGTTGGGGACCCATTGAAGAGGCTAAAAAAATATGAGAAAATAAATGAATTCAAAACTTATAATTTTGTCACCAAATATATAACGCTAAGTGCAAAAAAAGATCTTCAGGCCTTCAGAGAGGAGCCCATCAACCATTCTAATTTGCGGAAATAAACAAATTAAAGCAATTATTTTTGCAGTATGAGAAAACAAAAAACTATTATTTTGAGGATTATTCATGATGGGATTATTCAAGATGGGAGCATTATTCAAAGTGGCAGAAACTAGACAACCACTAGATTAAAAATGTAAAGAAATATATATCCAGATTGAGATTTCACTACAGAAACAGATAAATACAATTATTTATTACTCACTAACAGAGACCATTTGGAAAATATTTCAATAATAATATAAAAAATACAATATACTTTAAGGGTTTAAAAGCACTTGATGGATCAGTTGAATGGTAATGATTTAGCGGATAAAAACATTCAAGTATGGTATCTTTTTGTATAAAAAAATTAAAGATATGTCTTAAAATACATACACAAACCTAAAAGAAAACAGATGGAATATTCAGAAGTTTCAAATTTTGGTCATACAAACATAATATGGTCATCTTTATATAAAAAATAATGCAGCCCCTTGATAGAGGGTAAACATTTCGATCATAGGATTATGTAAGTTCATAATTGGTAATTGGTTGACTGTCGTGGATAATAAAGAGAAGAATAGTTGGGGTGCTCAGCACTAGCGGATCCAGGATTTATTTTTGGGGGGCGCTTCAGCCCGAAACCTTTTTTTTCATAAAAATAACGATAATTACTTTAGAAAAACAGAAAGAAACTAACTACCTATATGAAATGGTGTTTAAGTTATACATACCTTAAGTACTTTTAAATGTAATTACACGAACAATAATACTTTAAGAGGTATTTTTTGAATTTTTTTCCCATAAAACATGGTTATATTTTTCCATTTGGGGGGGGGGGCTTCAGTCCGAAAGCCCCCCCCCCGTAGATCCGCCCGTGGTGCTCAGTCAAAAAGGAAGGCAAAAAATAAATTATAATATTTATTTCTTACATATGCCGACGTTTCGACCTGAAGTTCAGGCCTTCATCAGGGCTTTCTCCTTAAGTGTCAAAGGGAGAATGACACTTAAGGAGAAAGCCCTGATGAAGGCCTGAACTTCAGGTCGAAACGTCGGCATATGTAAGAAATAAATATTATAATTTATTTGTTTGCCTTCCTTTTTGACTGAGCACCCCAACTATTCTTCTCTTCATTGATTATGTAAGTTATTTTTTCTCTGTTGGCTATGCACTTATTTTAGAGTCCAAAAGAGTAAGGAAATAAATATTTAACATTATCCCATCCTCAGGAAACCCACTGATGTTTTGTTTACTGAATGTTGTGCATAAAAAAAGTGAGTGCGTGCTCGACTCGTGCCAGACGAACAACATGAGCCATTGAACTACTTTCTTAACTACTACTTTCTGTCTATTCAGCCAATTGTTTCCTGTTGTCAAATATTTATCTCTTGGAGACATCCAATTTTGACTTTATTGTCCTTAGTACCTAGGGTTGCACCTGGATTGTTGATTTTCCATAGTTCCTTTATGATCGTGAAGAGTACTACGTTAAACAGTATTGGAGACAACCCGTCTCCCTGTCTGAGTCCTGTTTAGATCTGAAATGGTTCACTGATATTTCCTTGGAATTTAACTTTAGATTCAGTCCCTGTCATCGTTAGCCACGGGGGGGACTTTCGGGCTGAAGCCCCCTCCAAAATGGAAAAATATAACCATGTTTTATGAAAAAAAATATTTTAAAATACCTCTTAAAGTATTATTGTTCGTGTAATTACATTTAAAAGTACTTAAGGAATAACTTAAACACCATTTCATATAGGTAGTTAGTTTCTTTCTGTTTTTCCAAAGTAATTATCGTTATTTTTATGAAAAAAAAAGGTTTCGGGCTGAAGCCCTCCCCAAAATTAAATCCTGGATCCGCTAGTGTCGTTAGCCCTATCAATTTTCTAGTTTTTTTGGTCAACTCCGTATTCTTTTAGTACTTCAAATAATGTTTTCCTATCTACCGAATCATATGCCTTTTTAAAATCGACGAAAGAGATAAAAAGGTTAGTTTTACTTTTAGTTCTGTAGTGTTTGATTAATAGCTTAAGGCTCAAAATTTGTTCCTGACATGATCTATTTTTTCTAAAACCACCTTGGTTTGGTACTCCCCGATTTTAGCATCTACTTGTGGATAGAGTCTGTTTAGTAAAGCCTTTGAGAAAATCTTGTAGGTGACCGGTAGTAGGGAGATTCTCCTGTAGTTATTCATATCAGTTTGATCTCCCTTTCTATGTAGTGTGTGTATTAAGGCTGTTTTCCATTCTTGGGAAATCTTTTCCTCGCTCCAGATCAAATATCACATAATATAGAACAGCTTAAGAAATAAATTCATTTTTTTAGAGTACAAGGGGTAGATGACGTCATTGCTATTGAATTCTACAAAATGTCTCCTCCACTTCAGGGGTGTCCAGAAGGGGGTTTCATGGTGCAAGTCGTACCATCAAAATTTTTGAGGGAGACATATTTCGACAGGGCTCTCAATTTTCGGAGTGAAAAGTTTCAAAACAGAGAACTAGTAGGAAAACGTGAGACAGACCACATCAAGTGTAATTGTTTATGATCTGCGATTTGTCTACGATTTGTAACTACTTTCGCTTGTACTATTTCTAAGGAGAGAAATTTTGAAAGGGGGGATGATTCAGGCGCCATCGACCGCGAGGGGGGCATGCCTGCTCTTCTCAACTATGATTTTCGACTTATCAGTGAGAAGATTACCTTTTTCATCTAGGCAAGAGGTCTCCGCCTCGCGTGAGCTCCTCACCATCTTTTGGGTGGATGGTACAAACGTTTATTCGGGTCAAATGCCCTAGTGTATACTCTATTTAACAAAACCAAGATGACTGATGAATTTTCAATAAAAGAGCATCAGCATGAAATAGGTTGAAAAATCAATCTAAACATCATAGCATAGCAGAAGGGTGGGCAGCTGCTCTTCCAACATGGAAAAACAAATATGAACCAACTATTTCTGAAAAACTGGGCGATTGCGCTATGATAATTCAACATTTTCATAAAAATCATTGTTTATAGAAGGACACTCTCCATATGAATGAAATTAAATTTTAAATATTGCTACTCTTTTGGTGAATATATTTGTTTGAGCTTGCTTCGTCCTTGTCATACATACAAAGTATATAGACAATACTCAAATCTGAATTGTAATTCACACGTGGGCTTCGCTCTATCTCAATTATTGGAGAGGGGACCATCATATACCGTGAAACTCCTCTTAATGGATACTTATATATAGCGGACAATTTTATAGACTCCACTAAATTTTAATTAATTTAACTGTATTAAGATCTTCGTACATTGAGGAACACGCGTCCCCACGTCCCATAGAGATCAACGTCTGCGATTTCACATAGTAATTTTGATCAAATTTGGGGCAAAAGATATGGATATTAAACTACGAATATTAATTATACCTGATTTCAATATACTATATTAAATATGAATATAAATGTAAATAATGAGAAACATATTTTTGATACTTTTTCAGATGTTATCTTATTATTATTATCTTGTTTATTTGTTCCATTCGTTAATATATTTTCAATAGTTAATCAAATAAGGTTTATCAAAACAAATTTAGTATGCTACAATAAGTGACTGTTGTTTCTTTTTTTTCCCCAGCAATCGATTGTGAATATTTGTATATTGAGAATAATCTAGTCATCAGTGGTAAGAAGTCCCTTCTCCTCGTACACGCCGTGTAAGTAACTGTGTTTATCTAATTTTATCGAAATTTTTATTATAGATCAAGTATTATTAATGAAATATATTAGTATTGTCTTAGTCTAGTTCGCTTTTTAGTAATATTTTCTTGTTGTTTTACATTTCAGGAAGGAATCAGTGCGAGTTTTAAAATGGTAATGTTCATTAAAGTTTATCCACTCAATTTAAAAACTACTTACCATATTTTATAAATATTATCACTTAATTTTAAAGTTTTTACTCAGGTTATTATTATTAACGTTTCTTTGTATTGACTTTTTCAGCCTAGAGAAATCAAAGAAATCAAGGATTTTTTGCTCAAGGCAAGAAGGAAAGATGCGAAATGTAAGTAAATTTTGCTGTTTTTTTTCTTTTAAGATAACAACCATTTTATTCAAAAAGAATTCATTTTGGCTGCCTAAAATCCTGTTTCTAGCCAGTGAGAAAACATGTCAGTGCTGAAAGTGTTTTGTGATACTCAAAAGTACATTCTTCTTGTTTATTTAAACTTAAGTTAAACGTAAACTCTTTATTCCAGTAATAATTTCCATCAACATAAGTTAATAGAATACTTTGTTTCAGTGTTTGTGTTAATCTTATTGTTATATGATTAGTTAATACATAACCTGCAATATGTAATATTTAATTGTTTTAAAATGTGACAGCAATCCTGGTGTTGGTAGGTTAAATTTACTTATTCTGTATAATCATTAGTTTATTCTATTATTATCATTGTAATGAAAATTAAATTGTTGCTGTTTGGTTACTTAATGTAGTAAAGCATTTAATCTCCTTACAGTAGTAAGCAGTACTATCTGTTACCTTGACTGATTCTTTTTCATTTTTAATTTATTAAAACAAAGGTAATTAGTTATATAATATATTGATTAGTGGGTCCAGATCACATCGATCACACTGTCCATTGGGTGATTGCTGAGTGTGAAGGTGGCCCATTTCCAAACTTTCCTACTAGGAATTATAACGCTTTGTTGATCGGCAATTCGGCAATTTTAAACAGAAACTATTTCACATAATTTATTATTATATCATACCGGTTATATATCATCAATAGCTATTATTTCGTAATGCTAGTGCAGTGATGAGTTAAATCGTAGTGTGTCAACAACGTCTGAGCAGCAAAAGATGAGTTAACTTTTCTCAATATATTATTACATTGTTCATTATTACACAATATATATATGTATAGATAGTATCTGTATAAACACAATTTTTATGTTTATGAGTGATAGTTATGATGCCAGGAATCTATTGAAGTGTCTTGTCAGGTTGAGAAGTGTATCGAGATACTTCGATAACACTGGAATTGAAATTATTCTGAAGACTTCTCTATTTCTTTCTATTACACAAATAATATTGATTAAACCATAATTTTATATTTATAGCTGAAAAAATTACCACTCCCACCATTCTATTGCCAATTATTAATTAATTTTTAAAATTAACAATTGGCTCTACAACCCATCACTGGGTCCTGGCAGCTTATGCCAGTTATTTCTGCCAAACTTGCTGCTCCAGCTTAGAACACCAAGCAGGTTTCTCTAATGTTCATTTACACCATCAGCCCATCATAATTTGGAACAACCTTTTGCTCGTTTTACATGTAATTCTTCATCAAGGAGTTTCCTTGAAATTTCTTTTGCTTTCATCCTGGCCAGATGACCAGCCCATCTATGCCTGCCAAGCTTAATAATTTTAACATATGTTTCCTTTAATAAGGAGAAAAATTTGTTTTATATTTTTTCGTTCTCTCTTAGTAAACAATAAATACGTCGCCAAATCTTTCTTTCGAATATCGAAAGAGTTTGCTCATCTTTTATAGAAAAGACCATCTTTCCGAGCCATTTGTAAGTACCGTCCTGATGAGTGTCTTATACAGTCTTTTTTATTAATTTATATTAAAGTAATATTGCATGCTAAAAATTAAAATAAACACATTCCTTATGTTTCCAACTGATGAAAATCAGGAATCTATGTACTTCGATGGTGTATCAAGAATAAGTATGAATAAAAATAATAGTTTTATGTTTTTAGTGTGCCAAAAAAAATTCTTTTGTGACAAGTCATTGGTTTATTTGTCACATATATTAACGTTCCGGGATTGTTTTCCCATCATCAGAACTTCTTGTATTTTATTAATATTCAAATTCTATTTTGTCAGTGTCATATTTTTCATGTTTTAACTTGAATGTTCTCAACACATTTCTTGCCTAACAATTGGCCTCCTCATTGAAGACTTTGTGTATAAAATACTGCAAGAAAATTTCTAATAATGGGAAAGTAATTCCAAAACATTAACATGTAATAATATGTCACAAATATACAAATTAACTGTCACAAAGGAAGTTATCTGCCAAACTCATAATTAATAACCTTGAACTTCCCAAGTAAAGAAAAAAATAATGATTACAAATCTAAATAATAGTATAGTACATGAATAATATAATTATGATAATTATTAAGTATTACGAATTATGGTCAGGTTATTAAGGTGGATTAATAAAAATACCTTCATAATGTGAACACTATTAGCCAGTGATATCAATTCCTCTAGAGGCTGTTTTATTATATATTTTTTGTGCAAGCTTTAGAGAAAGCCTGTGTTTCAATAGTTTATTATGAACAATATCCATTTTGAATGTTTTAAATTTTAATTCTTGAATTATTTTAATAACATATATGTACATTTTTTTTAGCTGTCAAGATAAAGAAAAACCCAGAAAATGTGAAATTTAAGGTTCGATGCTCAAGGTTCCTTTATACCCTTGTAATTACTGACAAGGAAAAGGCAGAGAAACTTAAGCAGTCTTTACCACCAGGTAAATGCCTTGTTTATTTTATTTATTGCATTCTACATCTATTCAAGCAGGTCGTCAGTAGCATCTTGATTATTGTTGATAATTAATTGTATTATTGGTATTTAAATATTCTTGTCTTTAAAGTATTTCATCTTTTTAATATTTAAAATTAATGATCAATTTGGACATCATGGAGCAATTATAAACCATACATCGTAAATTCCCTAGTAGTTTTAAAATGAATTAGAGCAGAAATCAATAATTCTCATATATAACTTTCTTCTTAACCCTTTAACACTTAAGGCCTTATGCAAAAAAATATTCCGTCTTCATTGTAGACCCCCAAGGGATATATGTTCATCCAAAATCTGAGTCTTGTTATGGAATGGATAGTGGTATAGTGAGAGACCACATTGTTAAGTTAGATTTAAAAAAAAGTGAGCTTGGAAGTTATGATAAGAACCATTGGATTCATTTTAAGTTGATGCAATTTAAGCATCAATAAAAAGGAAAAATCAATTTTTTGTTTCTAAGCCTCAAAAGTGTCAGCATGGCATTCTCTGTACCCAACCAACTTGCGACTATGTATTGAAGTGGTTTCATAAATTTTTGATTGTTTTTTTCTTAATCTTTCTTAGAAACCAGTTATTTCATGGACGGTTATGTAGTAGTTGTTAATGTCTCTTGTTTCATTTTTTAAGATATTTCATAAATATTAGTTTGTATCTTCAATGTTCATGTAATTAATCAAGTTAACCTCATTTATTGATAGAAATGATCAAATTTTGTAATTTATCAATCAGTCTTTGATATCTTTTCAAGATAATTGACTTTAAGGACAGACCTTATAAGTCTCATAATTATCATACACACTTTCCATCCTGTTTTACCTCTACTCCTATTAGAGCATTAGAGCCTCTTTCAGTATATATTATCCTCAGGAATATTACTCGAGGGAGGTGTTCAGATACTCCTTCCGGTCTCAGGTACGATTGGGGGAAACAGATGGAGTTTAATAAAATTGACATGATACCAACTCTTGTGTTAAGGCTCACACCGAAAATTTCTTTTATATATTTAAAAAAAATTATTTATTTTGATTAATAACTTTGTTTTGTTTTATTTTCATTGCATTTTGGGATTTAAAAAGAAAACAAAGAAACAAATGATAAATGAATTCAGCTGTTGTGATTTGCAATAAACTGTTTAGTCGCAGTTTTCAGACTCGGAGGGAACAGAAATTGTGATAAAACTTTTAATTACTCCTCTCCCCGCAGACATTTTTTTTTTAATTTGGTAAATTTAAGAACCCACCAGCGGCAATTTTCATATAAAATTTTATTAACTCCACAATTTATCAATCAATTATATTTTGATTTAAATTTTTTATTTCATTAATTATTAAGTCATTAAAAAATAAAAATAATAAAATTGAAAAGAAATTTTAACTTCTTTTCTTGTTAACCTCCAGAGTTTATAGGATGACTTACCAGCTAAAAAAAATGTTATGATCATTATTCTTCAAGTAATGATACAATGTAATTAACAATTAGATATTTTCAAGTTAAGGAATGAAGTTTCTATATTTTTATTCAGTTAGTGGACAAGGTTTTCTTGTAGTTAAGTAAGATAACATCAAAATTTTCTTTTGTAATAAATCAACATTTTTATGAATTGTATTAAACAAAACATCGATTTTAAAATAATAAGTAAAATGTAATACTTTTTTGTTATCATAAGCTGCTATATTGTAAATGTAAGTTATCTTCTTTTTTTTTTCAGGCCTTCAGGTCAAGGAAGTGAAGTGATTTGAAGAAATGATTTTATTTTTATTTTTTTTGTTTTATACAATAAACAGTTAATTTGGTGTCCCATTTTCTGATTTTAGTCCATTCATCTTCCTTGTTTTTCCATGGTTTGTGAATTTTGTCAAATGTACTACTTTAAATGTTTAGTATAAAAGTTTCAGGTGGGCAATAGATTACCATAACAGATTTTGTGAATGAAATTATGTATATTCACCGCTAATTAACATAAATTCTCAATATTTTTTTTACTTTTACCTAAGTAGGGTAAGTATTTTTAGTTATTTGGACTCGGGTGACTTTAAAACATGTATTTCAGTTGAAAACTCAGATTGGAAAATTTTCACGATCACAATACAATACGACAATCACAATACATGTTTCATCACTCTAAGCTGAAGTCCAGTTTCACCCAATAGATTATTTGTAGTGGTTTAGATTAAACAGTTTTAAATTGTATCAGTTTTTTTTTTTTTTTATGTCTCGATATATCTCTGTATTATAGCAATATCATTCTCGTTATTATTATAGCTATTCTTTCGTTTGGTCAGTAGTGTCGAATTAATATTTTCTCAATTTATTTATATAGAGATATTTAATAGAACAAAGTCTTGATGTTACCAAACTCCTCTTAGGTTGTGATGTTCCCCCATTTATTTCTTCAGCCTTTTCACCTATCTATTATTGCTTCTGCTTTTCAGATTTTTACTTTCACTTTCGTACATATGAAAAGTATAGGAAGTGCAAGTATTGCGATCGTGAAAATGTTTGAGTCTGAGTTTTCAACGGAAATACACGTTTTGAGGTACCCTGAGTCCAAATAACTAAGTCCCTCAAAATGGTCTGTGTGTATGTATGTGAACAGTCTACCTCATAAATAAAACGTCATATTAAAGTGAAATTGCTTATTTAAGGTTTGTATATACCTGGGATGTTACAGCAACTTTTTCGTCAAAACAACAAACCGGAAGTGGCACTTAATTAATCGATTTAATACATTTTTACAGTTTTCCCATATGGATTTAACGATTTTAATTAAACTCAGTATATCAGTGTATTTTTAAGCTGTTTTTAATAAAATGTAGGGTTAATTCTCATTGATGTTATCTAACAGAGCTTAAGTGGCTAATTTTCAATGGTAGCTTCCTCTAAAGTACCTTTAATTTAGTTTATTTCAAATTATTAACCATTTCACATTAATCTTTAATATAAAAAATAGTTTTTTTATTTTTATTTCTAAATGATATTTACAACTATATTAAAGAAATACATTTAGTAAATTTGACCCTATGGATATAATGACGTGAAAATACTTGTTGAAACGTGAAATACGTGTTGTTGAAAATACCAGAAACTTCCCAGTGGTAGCACTCTAGTAATATATCTACATTAGGAGATCACGGCCATCTTCTTTTCAGATGTTTTGGAGAGTTATCAGGAATTGAAGAGGAAGCAAGGAGAGGGTTGGGATGATTCTGTTGGGAAGTTTATTATGGAAGTATAGGTATCTGGATTGGGTTAGATCTGAAATATTAAGGTCATTATGGGTGCTTATATTTGTAACAAAATAGGAAGCACTGAGGATTTTACGAAGGATTGGATACGAGAGAATTTTGATGGTTTAGTGGAGTCCCATAGTTCAACTCTGTAAATCCAAATAGGCTTTATTTTAGTCATGAATATGAGTCTTATGTAATTAATTGGAAGTTTAGAGTGTTAGTCTAAGTGTTGAAGTAATCTGAAACGTCAAACGATTTCTTGTCGTTTCAGTCTGGTATGAGTAAAAAATAATTAAATATATATATTGTAATGTCAACATTACATGGCATATAAATAGTGGCGCGAAAGTGGCAACACCATGAACTACAGGGAAAAAGTGGCGGAAGCAAGCCTCATTTAACTCACGACTGTGAAGGGCCGCCAAGAGAAAATGTGACAAGTTGATTTCTTAATGTATGTATCTCGTTTCTTTATATGTATTTAGTAATTAGTAAATTATAGTTATTAAATGTTGAATGTGTGTTCAGTTGTCAGAACCCAACCTGAGATTTATGTTATATGTGTAAAATAAATAATATATTGAAAAAGTAAACTCGTTTGGTTTATGTTGACAAAGGGAACGTTACAATATATATATATATATGAAAGAATTACAGTTTCAGCACATCTGCTTATTGTCAATCTTATGATAGGAGTGAATGGAAATATGAAGGAAAAAAAAAAATCTATATTTCTGTTTTATTTATAGATTTCAGATAAATATTGTATTTATGTTTCGTATTATTTAACAGTGCTTGCTCAAATGTAGTTTAATAATTTAAGTATTTTTTATCGGGATAGCTAAAAGATATATATGTTTCATGCTGAATAGTAGTCACATTTTTGTCTTCTCAAGTGTTTTTTTTTTTAGGTTAAAAAAAAATTATTTTGAGGTTTCTTTATGAACTTTTTTTGTTAGTCAACTAAAGGAGACATAAGAGATCGGAACGAACATTAGTAATGAAGGAATCAAAAGAATATGAGCTCACCCAAAAGATTAGAACAACCTTCCATACCTATGTAACATGAGCTTAATATGATATGGGCTCCGACAATGTTGTGCACATATACATGTGTGGTTTTCATAAATGCTATCATTGGTATTACTTAATATTTAATTGTATAGAATATAGCGATATAAAAATTAAAATTTGAATATATAAGGGTAATTAAGCAAATAAAAATACCCATAATGAAATATAAATAAATATAGCGTCTATAAATTTTACATTCACTTTTTCTTTGTCTGAAAATACTTATTTCTGCTAAGAAGAGGGTGGTAAGTAAAAGTTGTCTGATGCCTGCACCAGATTTTTTTACAATGTAAACTAGTATCAATGATAACCATATGGTTTTGAGTTTTGCCAATTTTTCAATCCATTAAAACATATATTTTACCGTAACCAACATTTGTTGTACTTGGTAATTCAAAGAAAAATGTTTGAAATAGCATTTCTAAAACTTAATATATAAAATAAGCAAATTTTTATTAAATTTCCAAAAATATACAGTATTAACATTTTGTCTTAAGACTTAAAAACCACTTATTTCCTTAGTTACATACTCATAACTTAAAAAAAAAAAATGAATTTGCATACAAATTTGGACCTTATTCATAACTTGCTTATCTCAAGAATCACTAAAACACCATTTCATCTAGTTACTATCTTTCTGTTTTCCAAAGTAATTATCATTATATATTTTAAAAAAAGCTTTCGAGCTGAAGCCCCCAAAATTAAATCCTGGATCTGCTACTGTTTCTGAGCAACACTGAGAAGTGATTAGAGAAATATCACTTCACGAACATCTCTCCGCTTGAGAACGATTTCTGTCCTAGATAATTAACAATTTTCTCATTATATTTGTTTATTGTATCAATTTTGTTAGAAATTATTTCGATAAGAGATTTTATTGAAGTCGATGTAGAGCTGCGTATCATCTGTGACCGAAGTCGTTCCAATGACTGGCGTCCTCAATGAGGCCTAATATAATCCACATTGCTTTCTTCAAAGAAGCAATTATTTCTGGTGTGTTGTCCATTTTGTAATAAGTTGTCACTGTCTTAATAATTGCTGAATGCAATGCCTGAAAGAAAAAAATCAAGGAACACAGAGGAGATATTTTTGAGATTTGAATAATTTTTACCTTAGAACAAGACGTAGGGTATAGATTAATTTTTAAAAAATACAATACTGGTTGACATTACACTTGTAGCTAATAAGATTAACTAATAATTGGAGGACATGCTTAGCAAAGCTGGCAAAGTTAATCAATTGTTAAAATTCAATCACCATTGTTTGGACTTTATAAACCACTCCAAAATAATGGTTTTAATATTAATCGTTATTATAAAAATTTGTGGGTATATTGTGGTATAGACTCATTTTTATAAAATTATTAACATCCGCCTGAAACTTGGAAAATAGTTTTATCACATCATAACCAACAAATATTTTACTGACGATAATTCTTGGAATTGGTGCGTTTTCAATTTGGAGATTTAATTCAACTTTGTCTATTTAATTAGGTACTAAAAACACATGAATACCCATTTGCTTTCCACTCGAATCGTAATGATCACAAAGTCCACAAAAATATTAAGGTCGGCAAAAATAAATATAATTATTTTTTTTAAATTTCTTTGACTTACCACTTCAACCAACCTCTCCTCAATATATCCATGACAGTTAACATTGATTACAAGGGGGGGGGGGAGAGGAGGCGATCGCCCCTTCAATAAAAATGTTGAAGGGGCGAGAATAACATTTCGTTCCACAATAATTTGAAGTAACAAAATATCACAAATAAGCTAAATGAATGAATAAAATGTGTAAACAAAAGTCGATTAGGAGAAGTCGACTGGCTGGCAAGGCTAGGATCTAGTAGTAGGTACGTAACTATTTTATTGTTACCTAAATGTTACTTTTATTTTAATTGTCATTTATATTTAAAGATAATGATAAACTGCTAGTCAAAAACACCGCTGCACCTCGAATTTTACATAAAACCGCATATTACAGAAATGTTTTTGAGCCTGAAGTAATAAAAGGTTTATGACAGGCCTACGGAGATTACCATGCATTAATCCTTTCGAGAAAATTTCATGATTCATTCTAGGATTAACTAGCCCCTAATGAAGTATCAATATATAACGTGTAGCTCACATCGGTGGCTCCAGTTGCCTGTTCAATTGTATTGGTTTTGCTTTTGTGGTTTTTTTCTTGAAAAACAAAACAAAACAAATGCCTGAAAAAATGGGCAGTTCAGAGGTGCCGGGAGATAGGAAGTTACGCTAGGAGGCCGTGATCTGGCCATCCAAGAGCGACATGTCCAGCTGATTGCAATAGAAACCGCTACCAGGCTTCAGTTGAGACATCTCATCGATTCCATATTGCTCAGCTTCACTTTTGTCGTAAACATGCTACGTGGACAGAAGATGATTTTTAGCCTCTGTCCTGTTTTCTGACGATTATAGCATTTATAGTGAAGACGGACAAGTTCTAGTGTGGAAAAAAACAAGTAATTAATTAGCTCAGTGCAACATAGAGAGAAGAGTGCAGTTCGGAGGAGGGTCTATGTGTTCCGAAGGCCCAAGCTCAATGTGCAAACGTAGATCGTCGAGGAATATTGGCCCCTTTCTCACTCTTCGTTCAGAATAATGCTCGGCAACATATCGAAACTGTTGTGCGGGACTAATTAGGCCACGAACTAGGTTAGTATCCGCACCTTGGAATAGGCAAGGTCGCAGTTCGGTCTTCAACAACAGAACCCTCCATGTGATCTTCAAGTACGTGAATGCGATCAGATTCAAGATCGGGTAACCACCTTATTTGTACCTACGAGAGTACAGACCGTTATTCAAGAAAAAGAGGCAACGCTAGATACTATAGACTGAGATTTCATAATTAAAAAAGAATTAGATGCGTTTTATTTTCGTTTAAGAGTGTAAGTTTGCTTTGTTTTTTATTTTGATTTTTAAAATGAATTTTCGTTTTTTCCCCTTTATTTGTGGTATTTTACAAATTGAAAATTGAGGTAAAAAAAATTATATTTTATTCTGTTGGGAAAGAAACATGACAAAATTGCAGGTGTGCCAGTTTTTATGACCAGTGTGTCTTAAGATTTTATGATTCAATCACTCCACAATTTTTACATGATATTGTTATCATATTTTCCTCGGCAAACGAGTCGGACTGTGAAAACATATTTTTATTAAAGGTTGTACACACTAAGAAATCAAAGATATATTTCATTTTTTTACATTAATCAATGTTAATCAATGGCTGTCTTCCCTCCCCCCACTCCCTCCATGATTAATCTAAACAAATACGTTGTATATTCAATTGTATTTTTTTATAGATATTTTCAAGTATATATAATAATTAAAATAATATAAATAAATAAAGATCCTTAAAACTATACAAACATATAAACAAATTAATTTTTAATATTAATATATAATATTATAAGTGTGGTTCGTTATTGCACGGTACTATTTTAGGTATGTGTTCAAAAAATTAAATTAGTGAATAATTTGGTGAATTTTCTCTTTGTGAAATCCAAATATTATCCGCTTAAAATTAGTGTAAAAACGTTTGTAGTAAACTATACAATGGAAAATAAACTTTACAACATTTTAATAAGTAATAGGCGTACAATGCATAATAATTTATATATTGAATATAGAGATATATTTTCAAATCTCTCTAGGCATACATATATATATATTGCTCGGAGAAGGGAGTTATGTGGTTTACAAAAACAGACGGATTATCGATGTTTTTATTGTGTACCGTTGATATAATTAATAGGATTTTTGTTATTTTAATTGTGTTAATGATTTGGTAGCTGTAAACTTAAAGCCAGCTCCGTTAAAAGTGTACTTCAAAAATTTTATAATTACCCAACATTACCAGAAAATAATTTCTATTCAAAGTAGAAAGGTAAATGAAAGCTGTGTGTTCAGCTCATCAGATATTTTAGTTACTATACGGAACAGGGGAAGAGAACAAAAAAGCATTCATTACCTCAAAATCATTTTTATCTAGCTTCGTTTTGTTGAATGACAGCAATATGCCACTATTGTGCGTAATGGATGTTACATATTCTGGTAAATGTATGTATTTGATGATTTTGTTGAGTAATTGCGCTTTCTCCTTACCGGATCGTAAGGTGATGCCATCATAGACCATCACTCCATTGTAGAGGACCCCAGGATTCGCTGGCATTTTCGCTGCAGTTTCCGGAGCATCATTTAAAAGTCTGTCAAATAAAAATAAAGCAATTTAAATCAATTTTAAAGTTTAGAATATAATATATTTAACATATCATTTCTTAAAGGTGTATTTTTGTCGGTAGGTCAAATCTTTGTTAAATCCTAGAATGAGCCATAATTTTTTAGATCGTCTTCTCCTTCAGTACCGAATATATAGCTTATCTCTCAGGAAAGTGACACGTCTGTTATTTTGGTATTATTTAAAGGGAAAATTTCATTAGTATGAAGAAATGAAACTATTCTCGATACTAAACCACATATGATTAATACTGAAGAAAATGATAATATACATTGCCTGGAGAATGTCCAGCTTAAGGGCAGTGCTTACTCTTATATACCCGAGTTGCCCAGTTATCAGGTCTACTACTCTGCTCGCTCCCACAAAAGTGGAGAATATGTTTGGGGACATCCGCTACTATGGAAAAAAATATTAAGACAACAAGAACAAACTATACTTACGTTATCATTAGAAGTGTACCAAAAGTTTGTGGATCATTTTTTATTTTCCGCCATTTTTTTCTAATGTTATCAATATCCTCCAAGGACAAAAAGAGAACGGAATTCAATTCATCTAAGAACAACTCGTCTAACAAATCTCGAGAATACTGCAAACATTAAAATAATAGTAACTTTATCTTATTGTTTCATTGTACGAGTATACTGCAGTTAGTGTTGCCCAAATGCGAGGCCGAGACGAGTCTTGGTCTTGCAAACTCAGTCTTGGTCATGGTCTGTGTCTTGCGCAAGAGTCTCGTAACAGTCTTACAGTTAATTATTAGCTTATTGCTATAGAGATTTACTGTAATTTTTTAGATAGGAGAAACCTAACTAAGTCCGAATGAAAAATTAGAGGAGTTAAATACAAATGTATTCGGCGATATAATCTTTAATCACCTGACACAGCTTCTTGGTTTTGCTGATAATATTGACATAATAGGAAGGTCTGAACGGGCTCTCAGAGAAGCGTGTATAGCCCTTGAAGCAGCTGCAAGACGACTTGGTCCAGAAGTCAACGAGAAGAAAACTAAGTATATGAGAATTGGTGGTGAGGTGGATCTGAACTCTCCATTTCAGGTAGGTTCTTTTAAGCTTGAGAGAATAAAAAGCTTTATATACCTTGGATTTGAAATAAATAGCAAAAATTACATGGCTCGAGAAATACAGAGAAGGATCACGGCTGCCAATAGATGTGTCTTCGAACTTGGCCGACACTTAAGAAGTAGATATCTCTCAAAGAAGACCAATCTGATTATATATAAGACCATTGTACGGGCAGTTTTGAGGCTTGGACGATGACGAAAAGTGATGAGATGAAGCTGAGTGTGTTCGAGCGAGGAGTCCTCAGAAGGATTTATGGTCCAGTAAAGGAGAGTGGTGTCTGGAAGAAAAGTAAAATACGGAGCTCAGTTCTCTTCATACAGACATCGACGTAGTCACGTATATTAAACTTGCCAGATTAAGGTGGGCAGGGCATGTGGCCAGAATGAGCGCCTCTGAAATACCCAAGAAAGTAATGATGGAGGAGCTGCACCTCGCAAGACGAGAAGGAAGGCCGAGGACGAGATGGTTGGACAACGTGGCCTATGATGCGAGAACCCTGCTTGGTGTACGGAACTGGACAGCTGCAGCAGAAGACAGAGCCAACTGGCGGAGGCTCTTGGAGGGGCCCAGTCTCTGTATGTAAATATATGTATTACATAATGTATGTAAATACAAAAGTATATTGGTCATACCAATTATTAACATTTAGTAACTAAGATTGTCAAGTATTAGTAATTATTTTGACTTAATTTTTATTTAAAAAGTCAATTTTTTTTTACCAGTCCTGGTCTTGGTCTTACAACAGTTAGGCGGCCTTGGTCTTGGTCTTGCAAAGTGCAAGACCAAGACCAATTTTGGGCAACACTAACTGTAGTATAATTCTTATAGGTAAGGCATTTGAGAGATTATGCACCCGAGACATTTATAAAAAAGAGATTACAAATTTTCTAAACAAAGGATGATTAATGATTATCCCAGATTTTCATTAAAAAATAATTAAACATTACTAAAACTTGAAATGTAAATGATATATAAATAATATAGAAATTACATACAAGAATTTATTTTTAAAAATATTATATTAGCGAAAAACAGAACCTCTTATGAAAGAAGATTGAAAAACGATGTCCCCATGCTGCCAGCCCATTAGTCATCACCGCAGCAACTAAATACAACGATTTTATGCACAATTTTTTTCTCAAGTTCCAGACAAAGCCACATCAATCCTGGAGCCAGAGGCTAAAAAGGATACTCATCGCAGAACAAGGATGGAATGTAAATTATGAAAGTGTGTGTTATTTTAAGTAAAATGAAGGCGGGTTAAGACATCAGCCATGTTCATATACAAATGACATGCAGCACCTGAGCCAGGAGTTAATTCTGGTGGGCTTCAGTCCAAAAGTATTATATATAACAATAACTACTTTGTTAGAAAAAGAAAGTATTGTATAAAGTGTTATTAAATGTAATTTCAGGAACAATAATACTTTCAGAGTTATTTTTTTCATAAGACATGGTTATATTTTACAATTGGGATGATTCAACCCGAAAGCGCTTTCCTGTAAAACGCCTGTGATCAGATTTGTCCTAACGAAATATTTTTACTTAAAAGACTCAAAATCGATTTACTTAAGAAAAACACTATAAAAAAAAAGGTTCATGATGACGGAAATACGTTCACTATATTTATTATTAATTACACCATGTAGAATAAGTAGAAATTAGTTTAAATAATAAATATAATTTTTATTGCAACAGTGGTTCAATTTTAATCACTACTAGTTCATTCCTAGCGTCATAGTTATAGATTACGCTCCATAGACCAATTGAATAATTTTAAAAACGTGTCAAAAATCCTTTCATTAATATTATGAATTGACACTGTTATTAAACAACTGGCTACTATCAGCTTTTATTTCAACTACTGCACCGTGGGTTCAATATTTTTTATTATTTGTTGCCAAAACTAAATAAAATATTAAACAGAAGTCCTTACCCGCCAGCAGAGACTCTTGTAGCTAGGCTCGCTGGTCTCGGTCTCGCTAGGCCTGGCCTCCTCGATAGGCAGGTTGCAGATGGAGGTATCAGAAGGTACCTCGAGCGCGTACAAGAATTGATTGGCACCTAGGCTCTCAAAGGAGTCTGTCTTCTGAGGGTTCGTCGTGGCGTATTTCTCTTTTACTAGTTCCTGTACCAAGGACATTGTGATTTTTAGTCGTTTTATTGTAATAAAAGAAATGTTTTATGTTGGTTAATGTAATTTTTAATGCTCATCTGTTTATTAATATAATTTTTAATCTGTTTAGTTAAGTAGACATGTTGTTTAGTTTTACTAGAAATAAAAGTATGAGAAAAACAAACTTATTTATTACAAATGAGTGTAATTTAGACTAAAAAAAAAAAAAAAAGAACGACGATCCTACAGTATAACTTCTGGCCTACAATACACCAAACACATCGATATTTTCAGGCTGAAGCCTCCCTCCCCCCCTCGAAATTCTAAAATATAACCCTGTTTTATAGAAAAAAATATTAAAAACTATCTCTTAAACCATTATTGTAATTACATTTAATAGGACTTCAAAAAACACCAAGGTTTCTTTGTTTTGTTTTTTTTTCAAATTAATTATCATTATATATATGAAAAAAAAATTGTTCCGGCTGAAGCCACCCCAAATACTAAATCCTGGATCCCTTAGTGTCCAATAGTTTCTAAAAAATGTTTTTACTTGGTACTGTTTTTTTTTAATGGTGTTTTTAAAAATGTTTTGTTAAACTTATTTTGTACCCTAAATTTGAACGCATTTTACTATATTACCCATTAACTTAAAAAATCTTAAAATACAACTTTAATAACCACTGTACTTTGGACAGATATTGTCTGGCTAAATTGGGCTATGACAAAGTTTTTGAAGTGAATTTTTAATGGAGGGATCAATTCATTTGAAATCAACCAGATAATGTTGCTCGACATTTTTTACCTGTTATTCCTACTTAATAGATAGCTCAAAACCATTGTTAAAAAAAATTTAAGGTTCACAGTTATTTCTTGGCGGCCACTTTTAATTTGACTTTTCGACTAAAACATATTATGGAGAAATGTCTGCAACTCAGGTAATTTTGTAGATATCAAACTAAAATTAAAACTGGAATAATGAGATCTTTCTACATTTTTTCCATCAATAAATCACTTAGAAAGAAAAGAAATTGGTTTTAAAAAAATCATGGAAATTGACTTGAAACTAGACTTTTAGCACTATAACATTGTAGTGCAAGGAAGTGATTGGAGTAAAACGACTACCAAGTTTTTCCCCTTACTTAATTATTTAATTAAGAGTACTCACTTTTTATTGGCTTGTTGTGCCATTGGAGTGTCTGCCGACCACACGGTCCATCTAGACCTAATGCAACAGAATAAATAATTACTCATCTAAGCTGGACTCTAATCTAGTACCTGGAGCATAGGAGCAAAGGGCTTACTCATGGGATTACCCGCTCCCTTGGTCACTAACTAGAACTATATTATTAAATTAAATTATTATTAATAATTAAATATGATCCAAATTATTTTTATTTTAAATTCCTTCTCTATCTTTTTTTTATCTACTGAAAAATGAATGAACTTTCTAAAGCTTTTTTTAAAAATAAGAAATTCATGAAACGTGAAAGGTCATGGCAGTGTTCAGTTGATAACACTGTAGTTGAGTGGATATGGCTGGATTATCTAATAAAAAGCATTTCTATTGAATAAATGTAAGTTGTAATAGATACCTCTGTATCAGACATCCACCTTCTGCGTTGTATTACTTTCTATCTATACATTCTACCAGTCATGACATCTCACAAGAGGAGCTAAGAAAGGAGTTACTGCTTTTCCCTTTAATCTGTTGCAGTTTTTCTTTGTTTCTTTTTTATGGCGCTACATGGCCTCCTCCAACCGTTTCCTCCAATCATCACGGTCTTGTGCTATCCCCATCCAGTTCCTAATTCCCAGTATGCTGCAGGTGTCTTCTGCCACACCAGCTCACCATATCAGCTTTCGTCTCCCTCTTCTCCTTGTTCCATGGATTGGCTGTGTAAGCAATATTTTAGGCATTTTTCCATCTGCCATCCTGGCAATATGCCCCGCATGCCTTAAGCGCCTCAAGTTCATTTATTTCACAATTTCAGCTTCCCCAAAAGCATTGTACAGGTCCTGATTCGTATGGTATTTCCACTCCTCTCCAACTTTCATGTGGAAAGGATCCACCTGCTTAACAACTTGCTTAACCCAAAGTAGAATTTGTTGGCTGCTATTATCCTTCTTCTTATTTCTATATCGGTGTTATTATCTTGAGTGACCACAGATCCCAGATAAGTAAACTCCAAGACCTTATCAAATTTATGAAGCCCAATAGTGACTGTCTCGCCTGTCATGGGAATTTCATCTGCTACCATATATTTTGTTAAAATTTGCCAAATTGGTAATAAATTACCATATAATCTGTTGCAATACTACTCAATATTTTACACTCAATAATGATATTTGATTTCTAAATGGCTATCAATGCTGGTACGCCTTGGACAGGTCCTACTTATTTCTAATTGTAACCAAAAAAAAAATCTAAGATTTCTACTACTTAAAAACAATTACTAACAATACTCTAAATGTTAACAACACAACCAATTGCCTTAATGAAAAAAAATCATTGGAATAACAGTACTTTTTTTATGAAACTAAGTAAAAAACGCTGCAAATTATTTCACAATGGTTTATTATCTCCAAACAATTATACATCTAAAGTAACATTGCCTTCCGAGTTACAAAGAAAAAAAAAACAAAAGATGATTCCAATTATTGGACGAAACTGTTTTTCTTTAATAATTAGTAATATGCTAAAAAAAATAGCATTAGTTCAGTATCACATTTAAAATTTAAACACTAAACCAAGGATATAACATTTGGAGTAGAACACATAAAAAAAACCGAAGACCATATCTTTGCTCCTAATTGTCCGATTTTAACGATTTTTTTTTTTTTTTTTAGGAAATTTCGTAAACTTTTAACGTAAAAAAACATGAAACCTCAAATTTTGAGAAGGGGTTATGTTTTTGAATTTTGTGGTCGATCACAATGTTTCATTATTGAAAATAATAAACCAAAATATGTAAAAACCGCGATATCTCTACTAATAGTGCTTTGATTTCGATGAAACTTATTTCATTTTTTAGGAAATTTAAATACCTTTGAAACATCTTATCACAATATCCACAAGAAAGTAAAAACTTTTCGAGTTATTCGGAATTTAATTTTATCATCCCTCGTAACTTTTTTCCAGCTTCTTTTCGTTGAAGTATGTTATATAGATAAATTTAAAGTGCGTCGAGAAAATGACTTTAGCGAAGTTTCATTGAAATCTGTACATTCGTTTAGGAGCTACAGTTTATAGCAACGCAGGTTTTTCGGCCACCATTTTGAAAGTTAAAGGCAGAGAGTAATGTCGATGAAAGAGCATCATCCTCGGGTGACCTCTGATTTTATATAAAAATTTGAAAAAAATCGGTCCAGTAGTTTCGGAGAAAATGCACGGACTGCGGACGGCATACGGCGGACGGACAAAAAAAATGTTATTCGTTTTTCGAATTCTACGCGTCTTGAAACGTGAAACCTCAAATTTTGAGAGGGGGTTATGTTTTTGAATTTTTTGGTCGATCACAATGTTTCATTATTGAAAATAATAAACCAAAAAAATACTACTTGAGACTTGTTTTCCTTAAATATAACATATTTCAGTACCTACTAAAGATATAATCAAAGCTACATCAAATTAAATATTTTATGGTTAATTTCATATATATTACTGTTAGGAAAATTGAATATTTATAAGATAATTAAATAAATCTTTAAATATATAATTTTAGCAGAAACTGAAACTTCCTAATTTTCCAATAACTATTTCATAAATTTGTAATTCTGCAATAATGTGAAAATACTCATCTTATTTTAATTTAATAATTACTTAGTCATATATTTGTGAAATTTGTTATTACTTTGTTGGTCACATCTTAACAATTAATAACTGAAGCTGATATGGTAGTTATAAAAAAAAATATTTTCATGGCATTTGCTTTTTGAAAATACTTTCTCTTGATGCTCACTTAAAATAATTTTAAAAATTTATAAATGATATCAACACCAATAATAATGTCCATTGGATATTTGCATATGCCACAACTTAAGAGATTAAGATATTTGTTTTGACTCTTCGGTCACCAGGAGTGATTTCTTTTGGCAAAAGTGATTTATTTAAAGTAAGTAATTTATTTCACTAGAGATGGTGTTTTGGCGGAAGAAGAGGTCAAGATAGATTAGCACTACTTCTCAGCATGCAGGTCTTTTAAACACCTTGGAGGCATTGTCACCTGAAATAACAAGACAATAGAGAACATAAGAGCATGAATAGCTGCTGTAATAAGTTTCTTTATGCCATGTGTAACTACCTCTCCAGAAGCCCTAAGCTGCTGATTTACAAAACTGTAATTAGATCCACAGTATTATACAGTAGTGAAACCTTGATGATGGCTTCGACTTGAAAGTAGTATAGCCCCAATTTATGGCAAGGAAAATTGATCATGTTCAAACGAACACTCCTCTGCTACCTAGCAAAGCCACAACCATTTGTATCAATGTGAGTAACTGTATTAGGCTTAGTTTGACTGTATCAATTACTTTTTAGTATCAGATACCAAGTATTTGACAACCTCAGAATTTTCTGTAGCCAAAAATAAAGTAGAGTGGTAGAGACCAAGAAATAAGAAATAACAGCTTTAGACAGACAACAATGTCCTGGATGGGGATTTGTTGTAACGGGTGGTGGTGAGTTTGCTCTAAGCCCAACAGAACAATTTATAATACACAAAATGGATGAATACCTATTTTATTATAATAAAAAAAAAGGAAGTCTGTACCTCTACAACCCAAGCATGAAGGGTCTAGGATTCAGTACTATTTAGGGAAAGTACTGTTTTGAGGCCAACGGTTGTATAGAGAAGGGATCGGGCCAGTATCATGCTCAACCACCATGTTTTCTTCCTTAACTAATTATATAAATAAGGGTACCCACTCAGTAGAGGTTGGATGTGCATCAGGAGAGTCTCTCTGTCCCAACCAATGAAACAGAATAAATAAATTTTCTGCCATGAGCCAGGATCTGGGATCTTCAGCATTGGAAGCTTAGTGCCCTGCCACTGAGCTAACCCAGCTTCAATAATTTCAACCAAATGCTTTGGTTGAAAAAAAAAAAAAAAATGCTTTACCACTACAATCCATGAAGAGTCTTGGGTTCAGTACTATAGAGGGATGTACAGTTATTTGGTCAACGGTTGTGCAAGGAAGTGATCATGATTTTCGGGGACACTCTGAAGTTTTTCCCCTTAATTAATTAATTAATTATGAGTACCAATTTTATAGAGACTGGGTGTGCACCAGGAGGGTCTCCCGACCCCAGTCGATCCACAGCTGATGAAACAGAATAAATAATCATTTACCATCAGCTGGATTCAAATCCGGTACCTTGAGCTTTAGAAGTCAGTGTCTATCCACTGAGCTACCTCCCTCCCAGACAAAACAATAACATAATAACAAATAATTCAAAGCAAATATCTGCTTAAGTGTTCTAATCTTCAATGGTTCTGTCTCAGGGATCTCTGCTCTGCATTAGTAGAACACACAGGTGCCATTATGGTATTTCAACCATAATCATGGATACTTCTTATTTACTTAATGATTTTGCTTATAATAATTATTTAGTTAATTTGTTTTACTGTTTATATACTTTTTATTTTTGCTTTATTGATAACATGAATACATTTTCTTGACATATTGATATGTTTTTTATTACTGTTATGTTTATAGTATATTATCTGAGAGTGCATACACATATATGAACGTTTCATTATTTCTTGTTTTATTTACGTGCTTTTATATTTATTATTTTTCAGGTATAATTTTTTTTTCTAGTTTTTTAGCCCTGATGATGACCCACATGGTTGGTCAAAATGTCATCAAACTTAATAAACACCATTAATGACTGCAATTCCTAACTATTTTTCATCCTTGGAAATTTGAGTTGTGCCCTTCCATACTGAATATGCAATGTACATACTTATGAGGATTAATTAGCAAAAACAAAGCTGATTTGACAAGCTGATAAGTAAATAAAATGACAAATTAACGAAATCAGTTTTAGTTTGAAAAAATAATCAATGATATTTTGACAAAATACTTTTAAAAATCATCATATGAGAAATAGTACCACTATAATTATTTATCTTTATATAAAATGAATTATCGAGTGAAAATGATGAAATAAAATGATTTATAGAGATGTGATGATAGTAGTACCTTTTCAATTCAAATAATAGAAGAAAAAGAAAAAGGGAAATTATTATCAAGGAGCAGAGCAGCTCAATAAGTAAGGCATTGTTCTTTCTAACATCAGGTTCAAGTTGGGTTATGGCAGGTAATTAATTATACAATAACACCAACTTTTGATTGATGTTAGGGTTGGGAGATCTCCTTGGGCACATTCAGCCTCTATTAAGTGGGTACTTTTAATTAAATAATTAATTAAGTGGAAAAACCTGATAGTTGAGCATGATCTTGGTCATACACATCTTAGGATGACTGTTCAACAGCAATTCAATAACAGTATTTTCTTCCAAAATAATGAACACTAAACTTTCCATGCATATAAATTCTGTTATTTCTTTCATAGTAACATCAATGACTTTTGCAATTCATATAAGTTATGAATTTTAGGTATGCACAAATAAAATCCAGTATAAAACGGGTGCACCCTAGCCTGTTTTCATTCAAGTACTTCATTAAAACTTTTGTATGTGAATAAATTGAATGTTTCGTCACCTTCGAAAAAGGAAGACACCAGTATACAAGCTTTGCAGAACTATAGAGGCTAGAGCCTCCTTATAAGGATTTTCCATAGATGGAAGGAGATGGATTGAGTAGACTGAAGGTACTTGTAACTTATAGTTCCTAAGCAGGAACAGATCAGAAGAAAGGTGATAAATTATGATTAAAAAAAAGAAAGAAAATTCTGTTATAAATATACAAGTTATATTTAGTGAACTAGAAAAATAATACAAAATTGCCACAGATAATACTTTGCCACATACAATACTACGAGGTAATTGTTGTTATGTTACAGTAACGTGAACCTTACAGTTTAGTAATATTTTTTTTCTGACTGGAAACATCATAAGCGTGTAACAATTTGGATTACTTTGTATTATATTTACATGTAAATATATACACAATATTATTTATTATAACAAAGACACATGTATAATTCACATTCACCCATATTAAGTGAGATTTACTATGCATTATAACCAGTGAATTTGGTTCACAGAACCACATAAACTTTTCACTATTCGCCTAGACTTAGTATTAAGGCAGTGTATCTTATAAGATATAATCTTATTCATTATTGATATTATATTTGATTATGCTATTTGATCATGATTGTTTTTAGTTATCAGGTGCATTTAAAACAAAAAGAACGAAGAAATGTGCTAGTGCAGAGATGCAGACAAAGAAAAAGCAAAGTTTTTTCGGCCATTGGCCACACTGGAAGTTTCTTTGGTTAACACTGTACTCTTATATATATATAATTCCATCCATTATTACTGGAATATCTCTAAAAGCTCTCTTCTCAATTTTTAATAAGTAATATAAAAACTTATAAACTAATAAACAATTAAATAACAATATACAAATAGGAAATACAAATTAAAAAAATAACCACATTTTGGTATAGAAAATGGTTGGATAATAAATTAATAAAACAATAATTAATTCTGACTCATAATACTTTAAAATATATAACTTAATATAAATAGATAATTATTTTTAACAAGTTCAATGTTCAATATTTATAACAGACTAAAACCTGGACAAAATAAATAAACTTTAACTAATGAGATTTACATCTAAATTTACAAATCAAATATACAATGCTCAGGTAATTTTATACATATGCACAGCAGTTAGATTTATACTTATTAAAATTAAATTACATGATTTATCAATAAATGAATGACTAGCTTCATGCATCACTATAACAAGAAAAAACTATAAATAATTAAAAATAAAAATAATACTAATAAACCAATTAAATTTGAATTTAGGTGCCAACGCCAACAGTCTTTAAGTGAACCTGTTTTAAACTTATCATGATAGAGATGCATGTCAATTTATCAGTCTTTCTTTGGTATATAGCTTTAAATTAAATAAATATTCTGGCTCATTGCACATTATTAATTAAGGCTAATGAAAAAGGTCTGAATTTCGTTAGAAATAATTATTATTTCTATTATAGAAATTGTACCTTAAGTAACAGACAATAAGCCAGATATACATGTGACAAAAAAAAAAAAGAATAAATAAAGACATACAATAATTTATTTCTTCAGTCCATTATGCTCTTTAACGGGCACATATTATTTTTCTTTTTATTTCAACAATTATTGTTATTATAACAATATATAATAAATATACAATGGTATTATACAAACAATTAAAAAAAAAAAATCAAATAAGATGTATAGAGAGATTACAAATATAACGTATTATATAAGAAATAGACAATTTATGGGGGAAAGGATGGTGTGAACAAATTGAAGAGGACGGCAAATATAGTGCAGGCTGCGTATACCCCAAGGGCGACCCACCATATCAACTGCTCGTGCAGCTTCTGCTCAAAATTCTTCAACACAAGGAGGCCGATGGTGAGACCAGCTAGGGCACCGGTCAGATGGGCCACGTAGCTGACAGGAGGGCCTGCAGCCTCGTTGGCGTACCTGTCGTAGATCGCAAACCCGACGTCTGCGCTCGCTGCAAAACACAATTCACATCAATTAATAATAAGTAATCTACGGGTGGCTAGGTAATAATAAATATTGATATATTAAATCAGCATGAACTGGAAAATTTGAGATTTTTTTTTTGTAATTAATCTAGAACTTTTATGAATAATTAATTTCATTAAAATTAATACTGTTACTTTGTTGAATATTTTAATGATCATATAAGTTCTGTGTATCCTTGTATCTTGTATATTTGATAAAACTACTTATACATCTGTATTAGTTGTAACGATTTACAGCAGAAGGGTGAAAAAGAATTTAACGAAACAACTCTTTAAATGGTAGTTTTTCAAATCAAAATGATTAACATGTCATAATTACGATTTACTAAATTTTTAAATTCAACTTCTTGATTATTATCAAATCAACAATTGGAGATTGATAAAGTTACCAACATATAAGTTGTCTATATCATTCATAAGTCATAGATAAATGGTAATAAATGTTTTGTTTTTTTCCCTTCCTTTTTCCTATCACACTGTTTATTTAATACATTTACATATACGTAAATACACACTGATGGATAGGCTTAGATCTAATAAATCAAAAGAGGTATAGAAATATGTTTTCTATGTTATGTTACTTACCAACAACAAATATTCCAACCAGCCTCACAATGCCAAACTCCATATTGTTGTAATTCTGAAAACATAAATATTTTATTTTAGTGAGGTTAATTTAAAAAAATTATATAAAATTATAGAGTAAAAGTAAATATTAAAATTAGAAAATAAGAAACAAGATAAGAACCAATTCATATTTAGCAGTTATCAGCTTTTATTTGCTTTTAAATATAATAATTTTCAAAAATTTTGTTATTATATAATTTAGAAACAAAATATTCGAATAACTGCATGAATCTAGAGTAGTTTAACTCGAAACAATAGAAGGATGGTTAGGGTGCATGTTAAAACCTTTTCTAGCATCCCTAACTTTATGAGGTGTGATTCATTTCTTCAATTTTTTTTTTTTAAACAAAGGAAATTTTCTGAAAAAATCTTGTAATTGCAGAATTATTGAATCAACTACATATATCAATAATAATCAGTCTAAATTAATATACCTAATTAATTATATCCTAAAGTGTACTTTAAGATTTTTCTTTTGAATTTATTTAAGCTAATATTAATTTAATAATGATTTTTGTTTTTTTTGGAACCTACTATCATCCATTGACAATTTTTTTTATTGAATTTCCTAAGCAACTATCATCAGTAGAACTTTTATGATCACATTCTGAAAATTGATTCATCTATATTTGTCTGATGTATTAAAGCCTCCTTGTTTTATAATTCATTAAAATAATTGTTATTTAATTTTCACAAATGAATTATAATACCAAGGTTTGTTTTGCTGTTAAGAATTAGTGTTATAAAGCTACTATCTTTTAAACTGCTTACATTTATCACCTAATGAATACTTTTTCATCCCACTTAAATCTCTTGTTAAAATAAATATTTTTTAAGTTGCATTACAATTAACCTACGACATTATAATAATTTTTGTAATTGATTATAGCAATGAATTGGCAAATTCAAACAACTCAAAAATCGTTTTGAAGTTATAGAAAACTGATAGAGATTTGACTATTAACCAGAAAAAATAGAAAATAAACCATTTTTACATATTAATCATTCCGTTAACCGGATGTTTTTAAAGACATGGAATGAAGGTGAAAATTATTATTTTATTTATTAAAATTTAAAGAAAGACATTTTCTCAACACTGTCAATAAAAAAGTAACAACTTATCAATAACTTTCTAGGACTAATGAATAATTACTCTAGATACTTACCAAAAGTACATTCGCTAGGTGTGCTGCCAATAGTGCGTAAACACCACCAGAGGCTCCTACGAGGTAAACATCCATATCAAAGACAGATGTTCCCAGAGAACCTAAATAAAAATAGCTGAATTAGCATTAAATCAATTTCTATATTAAATTATTTAAATCAATTAAAATATTTAGTCGAATAATAAATAAATGAAATATTGTATGATCCACAATTTTGCAATATTAGAAACAGATGATGGAACATCACCCAAAAACAGGTCAAAAGTGAAAGAGAGGTAACTTTTGAAACAGAGGAAAACATACTGTTCCGCACCATGAAGATAACGGAAATAATTACTGCCAAGGTTGGCTGCTTCACTCACTGAATGGGGCCCTCATATCCCACACGCCAGCTCTAGATTTCACCTTTATCCAGGATCCTCGTTATGCATATGATTTTCATAATATTATAAGAGCCGAGGGAAGTATCAATGAACTTTACTTTAGGTTATAATTAATGTTATGTAAATAACTTTAGCAATGAATAACTACATAAATAATTAAAACTACATCATAGATCCATAGCGGCGATAATAATTTCTGTTAATCATTCATTGGATCTATTTAATTTTAAATAGAACTCAAAATATTCTGCTAGTCCATCTTTATATAATTTATATAATAAATGAATTATTTTGTTAAAAAAAGTAAAATGGAACTTACCAGCTAAAACACCAGCCATGTATACCGTGCCTATTCTTAAAGAACCATGCACCATTTCCAGAGGAAGTCCAACCAGGACTTGCACGAGGAGGTTGAATAGAAGATGTAACCATCTGTATATTAAAAAAAAAAAAAAGGATGTTTAAATAAAATTTGAAATACAGACATCAAAACTTCAAATATATGAAATGAGAGAACTTTTGACTCACCCAGCATGTAGAACCATGTAGAAGAAAAACCTCCATATTTCTTCTCTCTTGTCTGGCCTATAGATGAAGACACTGTCGATTGGAACTGGACCTGCTGGGTTCATTTCACCTGTAGCCACTGTGTAGTAGGTGAAGAACCCCAGCTAAAAAAAAACAAACAAAAAAAAACATATAAATATGAACGTTGTAAGTCATTATATAAGTTATTATTTAGGAACTCATACAAATTATTCAAATTGAATTTCATGAATAGTCCAAATATAAATTATTATATCAACTGAGTTATGTAATTATAGAAAATAGCTACCAATTCGATGAAAAATTTTCAATGAGAATTATTTAAAGTTAGATGATGCACTGGCCTGGTAGAAAAGGGGCTAGTTGGCCTCTTGCCTCCGTCTTGCCAACCTCAAATTGAATATACCGATGGAGATTGAATATACTTTTAGTTTTCCTTATGAAATCTAAACGGAAGGGCCATTCAATGGAAGAAACCTCTACTATGTAATATAGGGCAGTTTCTGGTGCTTTTCCATACATATAGCAGGTTTTTACCCCACAAATTTTTAGATGTCTATTTAGCAGTGGCTAGGGGACTTAGAGCAACGATTTGTTTACTGTATATAAGTTTGTTCTACTTGGGCCATTAGTGGATCCAGGATTTAATTTTGTGAGGGGCTTCAGCCTGAAAGCTTTTTTTTCCTTTCTTTTATATATATATATATATATATATATATATATATATATATATATATATATATATATATATATATATATATATATATATAAAACGATAATTAATTTTTTAAAAAATGAAAGAAATTAACTACCTATATGAAATAGTGTTTCTTGTAGTTCTATTTAATGTAATAACTCGAACAATAATACTTAAAGAGATAGTTTTTAATATTTTTTTCTACAAAACATGCTTATATTTTACCGTTTTGGGGAGGAGAGGCTTCAGCAAAAAAGCCCCTCTCCCTGTAGATCCCCCTGTGTTAGAGTCTCGTTAATCCTAGAGAGAATCATGAAATCTTCTCGAAAGGATTAATGCATGGTAATCTCCGTTGGCCTGCCATATACCTGTTATTACTTCAGGCTCAAAAATATTTCTTTAATATGCGGTTTTATGTAAAATTCAAGGTGCGGCTGTGTTTCTGATTACCAGTTTATATGAAGTGGTAACACTTCTAAGATTAGATCGGTTTAGGAGGTCCCTTGGACATTTTCTTTTCAGATGCCTGGGAGGGTTGTCAGGAATTGTTCAGGGTGAAAGGTTATGAACAAGAGGCTTGAAGTGACCAAATATTTTGGAATCAAAAGAGGAATACCTAATTAGGGTTTTCAACAAAGGGAATGTTGAGGTCTTTATGAATAATTTTATTTGCGACATAATAAGTTATTTTAAAGATTTTATGGAGGGTTTTGGTTTTGGGAAGAATTTGATGATTTTGTATAGCTTCAATAAGTCCAAATGGGCCTGGTAATGGTAGTGTGTATGAGTTTTAGTAGAATATTGGAATTTTAGAGCGTTTGTCCAGTAAGTGTTGCAGTAATCGGAATCTATTAGCAGTTTCTATTCTTTTCAGTCTACTATGAGGATTACAAGTAAGGCGTTTGTCAAGAAGGGCACCTAGGTAAGGGATCGGATCTCTGTTCGACAGGGATAAGCGGAATATTGTTAAAGGACACTGTAGTCATTCTTGAACGGCTGAAATGTGTGACTGCCAGGATTGAGGTGCAACAAATAGGTCAATATTGACAGATGACACAAATGTGTCATCAACATAAGTAGTAGGATGTGTTGGAATATCAGCTGTATAAACTGTGTAAAGGTTACTTTCGAGGTTAAAGGTTTAGTTTACTAAGGATACTTTCTTGAGGAACACCAACGGACTGGAAAAAAAGAGCTGCATAGGCAGAATTATAATTTAATTGGAAGGTTCTATCAGTGAATTAGGAACTTAAATAGGAAAGATGTTGGGATTCACGGAGTTAGTATAGGAAACCTACATGCCAGATTCAATGAAAAGCCAGTAAATAAATGTTAATCGGTTCTGTCAGTTACCAAACAAAGTTACGTAAGTTGATAAGATACATTATTTTGATAGTCCAGATAATATGAAATCATTATGTTTGTATATCTAATTTTTGTAAAATTGAGAAGTAGTTGGTCGGGGAGTGCGGTCAAATAAATACTAATTTTAATATTAATTATTAAATTGATACTGTTGGATGAAGTTAAGAACTTATTATAAATACAATACTAAACCCTTACCGGACCTAAATGAATACCGAATGACCATCATGGCTCTTTAAGTAGGAAGTATCACTTGGACGACAAGAAAAAAGAGCGATGTATGGGTTCGGTGTGGAAGAGGGAAGTGGGAAGCCATTGGCTCGGCTCGTGCCAGCACATCCTTCCACGATCCAGGAAACGGCCCTCACCTGTTATTTTTTGTCCAGCCCTGGAGAACGCACAACGTGCAGCTCCATTCATCAGGATGGGGAGTTTATGTTGTTCTTGGAGGAAATTTAATTATACTACGCCCCAGACAGGAAAATGTGATTAAGCTTTGTAATTAACTACGAAGAAGGTTTTATGATGAAAAATATGTTTCACAACACAATTCAAAGCGCAACATTTACTTGTTGAATTGAAATTTATTCCTATAATGAATGATGTTTATACCATAAAAAGAATCTTATGTCCCTAAATTATTCAGGGTAACTATCAAAACGTCATGGAGCTCTTCAGTAGCAAATTTCATTTTTGTAATTACTCTGCAAGAAAAATAAAGAAACTATATGAAATGAAGTTTAAATGGTCTTTGAAGGCCTGATAGAAACAAGAAGATAATATAGGAATAATAATGTTTTAATATTCCTTTTCATGGCACTTGCTGATATTTAATAGTACATACGTTATAATTTTATGTAAGGCTTAATTATGTAGGTCACATCATCCACAGAAACAAACATGGAGCAAATTAAATTTATTTGGATAAATTATTTGTCTATATTTTTTTATGCGAGAGCGCAAGACAGCCATATTTTTCTACTTTGTACCAATTTTGTTTTGGGATGTAAGAATCTACACAAAGACTTTTCAGTATAAATTATGAACTAATCAAATTTCGGCTTTATCAAAACTGAAAAGAACTAACGAAATCACATCAATGCAGAGGAACTGGTAGTACATCTCACTTTTATAGTATTACAATAAAACTTTCAGCACTGAAACATTGCTTTGACGTTTAAATTATTTATCTCAACACTGAAATAAAATATATAGTTAGTATACTAAATTTTCGGTTTTTATGATGGGCTTCTGCCTTATTTTTATCTGACCATCATTATTTCTACTACAAGAAATTGACAACAGATCAGTTTTCAAATTATACGCCTGATAAGAAAATTTTTTATATATCAAACCAAATTGAAAGAAAATTAAAAAGTTTAAAATGTCAATGAGATAAATTTAATACTGATATTAATAAACACGAGCCCAAAATAAAACGTCGATAGTGATTGAATCCATTTTGATACTACATTTACATTACGACTTGTATTAAAAATACACGTGGCATTTAGAGTGGCACAGGAGCCGTATGATAAGTCTCTGATAAGCCTCTAAGTTTAGGCTGCCTTATCTGAAGAGAAATTTCAAAGTAAACAAGTACCTTATAAGTTACAATTGTATGACTAACCAATCACTTTTGTTTATTTTTTTAAATGAATACTAAATAATATTTATTTAAAATTCTCAAATATAAAGAAAACAACAAAATGCATGCATATTTTATTGGTTAGTTTTCAAATATAATCCACCTATCTATATATTAAATATTTTATAAATCAGAAAAATACTAATATAAATGTAAGATTTTCAGAACTTTGTTTAAAAGAATTATCTGAATATTATATTAATTATTTTAATTTAATTGTTGGTGAATTACAACACATGCAAGAAAAAAAAATCAGAAATTATAAAATAAATTTTTTTGACCGACAGGGTTGAAAGCTGAATTTTTACATGAACAGAAGCCTTGAATGCTCCTTCCGTAAATGACGTAAGGGATCAAAAGTTACAGTTAATGGGGAAGACATTCGGGGTAGAGATACTAACTACTAAAAATATCCCCCTTATAATAGAAAGGATCCACCCCCAAATTTAGGGTGCCTCTTCCATTTTAGTGGCAACTGCAGACGACAACCATCGGGTCTCCTGATGAATGGGTCTACGAGCGGATGTCAACCGAACTACTACCAATTTGGGAGTACTTTTAGATACTTCTGCCGGGAAAACCTGAAGGGGAAGTGAATATTTCTTCATTGCACCTAAGATACCAACTGTGGGTTCTGCTTCCAAAACAGCATTGTACACATAAATAAAAGTAAATGACGTTACATTAACTTTTCATCCTGGAAGTATAGAGTTATTATAGAATAGAATTGTGTCATTAAACTCATTTTAAACAGTAAAATAATTATACTTATTAAAAATAGTAAAATAACACGCATTTACAGTTAATTCAAAATTTTAATGAGAAAAAAATGCATTTGTATGCTTTATATACATTTTTTTTTTAATCGTAAAAACTACTAAACTCTTGACAAATAATCGACATTTTTGGAAGATAAGACAGAATAAGCTTTGTTGTGTTGAACTTAGTTTCAGATTGATAAAAATAAAATATCAGAAACATCCATCAATATGATTCAATTAACATAAGGGGGGCGGCCTATAGGATTAACGCGTGTGTAAAACAGGCGCTGCCCGGCAACCAACTTTATGATATATTGTGGTTTACAAGATATGAAATAATTATTAGGTCTCGTCCCGGTGCCGGGTATTTAACTCTTATTAATCCTCCACCCTCTTCCCTGGCCCAGGAAAATTCCCGCATATCCTGCGGAAGGTGTGGACAAAAAAAAAAATTCAAATAAAATAAAAGAACTAACTGAACATAACAAAACAAAATAGAGGAATTCCGTTACTAATTTTTTTATCAATGAAAAGTACCGAGAAAGGAGACGAGACGAGTTTGAATTCTAACAGTGAGCTTGATTACCGTAGCTTGGAGTGGAATAATAATCTGGAATTTGACTTCCATGATAGCAAGCTGGAACAGGAAACATCCATAATGCTCCGGAAGTGCTATTCTGCATTTACATTTCGTGACGGCTATTGTAATGACCCATCCCGGTGGCGGTGGCTCCAGGCCTGCAACTTCCTCTCAGATCCAACCTTGCTATCAAAAAAATAAAATGACAGCACTCAACGCAGTGATAATATGTAATCCCTCCGAGAGCTATGTTTCGGTCTAAGGAGATCCATTTGTATTTGTATGTCATGAAAGGGCATTTATTAAATATGAATAGGTTATATAATTTTACTAACTAAGGTATTTAATTTTTTTCAGCGAACATCAATTAGATTTCTCCAATAAAGAAATAATAATAAATAAATAAAACATGATGGGAGGAATATTGATATTCTGTAATCTTCCAAAGTTACTCCGTGTTTGTTATCCTTAATTGTGACAGAATATAATATAACTATTGAGTTTTAATATTACTAAAGAATTTCAATAAAGAAATACAAAAGAATAAATAAAATAAATTACTCAATCTTTGAAAAATAGATCTGCAAATAAGGCAATACAAACGTTAACTACTATAAATATAAATATTTGGAACAGCTTTACTTATAATACTATTTGGCCTGAGCGAATAAATAAATAAGTAATTTTTAAATAGGAGGTGATAATTTTTTTTTCTCGGTCTATCACAAAGGTTCATTAATAAAAATAGATAGATTTCACTAGCACCGAAGCTACACTAACAACGGCGTACACAGCTTTTATTTTTTTGGGGGGAGGAGGGAGGTACAAGAAGACTGAATATAGAAAAATCTCAGCAAGATAAATGATTTAAAACTCTTTAATATTATACTACGTAGTTTATAAATTTAGTTGTAAAAACAATTTATAATTATTTTACTTAGATTTTAATATTATATTATGTTACATCATGGACTCCCCATGATGACAGATCTCATAAATACCCTGCTGATATCTCTAGATCAATGCGGCGAATGGCGGAGCTCCTGTACCCTTCATTCATAGACTTAGAGAAGGCATTGTACTCAATCATTCAGGATATCATGTAGAAGATCCTAAAACGGTATGGGCTCTCTAGCAGGATTCTTAAACTTGTAAAAAGTAGCCAAAATGAAGGGTAAAAATGCCGAGTACTGGAGAATGAAGGAGTGCTATCAAACCCAATGAAGATAGTAAACGGAGTGGAGCAAGGTTGCGTTTTATTACCACATGGCTATGAGGATTATAGTGTACTCACTTCTAGGAGGGTGATGAAGAGGATGAAGAGCGGCGGAGGACAGCACGTGTAATGGTCTGCGTAGTACTTCCGGTCCCGCTCGTGGGTGAGGAACTCGTCCGCTATTATCTGCACCATCCTGCAAAAGTACAAAATATTCATTAGTAATTAGCTTAATTTGTAATTAATATTCACAGCATCATTTAGTGGAGGCCTTCATGTCATAATTCGTTTAGTTTCCAAGCCACATTTACAGATCCATAAATGACAAAGTATATGAGCTCTAAGATGTAATTATAATATTATATTATTAGGAAGCGGACAGTAAAGGGGTCTATATCGCTGGCTGGAGCCCTCGTATCGATCTCCCCTCAGCAGGGAGAGACCTTCACGTCCCGGCTATGTCCCATTCCATTCCAACATAAAAGAATTTGGACCATCTAACACTATTCGATGGAGCTTCAATTTAATCAATTTCACAACATTTAATTACCACCGAGTGAAGAAATTATTTCCTTACATTCGTCTTGTAACTTTAACAACACAACATTCTCAATTAATCGGATGATTTCTCAACGGATTGGATATATCACGTCTTTAAAAAAAAAACTAAACAACACGAAATTTGTCATTTTCTCTTAATTTTAAATTTAAATTTAACTCATTACGCGCAGAAGAAAGGTTTATTTCACAATCGAAGAAAAGTATATGAAGAATCCCGAAAAATGGTACAAAAAAGAATACAACGACAAAAAACAAAACAAACAGATTTTTCGACCAATCATTTATAAGATTTAATTTTGAATAAACATCAAATTGACATGAAATCTGTTACTGACCATTCATACCCATGACATTTCTAAAAACGTTAAAGAAAAAAATGTTTTAAAGTACCTACTTCTGTTTTTTTCCAAAACTGGACTGAATCGATGGGAATTCGTAATGGATTTTTATAATGCATGTAAATAAAAATAACAATAATTAAAACCTTTGAAATGGAACTTATTCGAAAAACTTTTAGAACAGAATCTACTGAAATGTTTATTATGAAAACATACGTTCATTAGAGATTGAAATGAAGTTGAGGTATCTTTTCTTAATATTAAAAAATAACTTTCTTTTGATTGTTATTTATATTTTACTTATTATTGAGTTCTTACTTTGTTTAATTTTGTTTATATATATTATCTGTAGATATGGTGTGAATGCGCTTTCTCCTCATTATAACCATTGTCCATGTTGTGACATAATGTTATGTTACTTAATAATAAAAAAAATCCTCGTATGATTTGGTATAAAATCTCTGATTTATGTATATATGTATATTATATATTAGTTTATAGTGGAGAGGTAAGAGACATATAATCATAATAATCAAAGGAAGAGATAGATATCAGACCTGCTGGAGAGGTGGGTGAGATGATTCCGGCTCCATCAACGACCGCTCGCCAATTGCACCGCTGGGCGACAATACCGCCGCGACCTCGGGATATCCCGCTCTTACGCAACTTGCGTCCGACAGGGAAAAGAACTTTCGAGTAATAATAAATAAATACGAATCCCGTAATATTTTAATAAAGATTTAAATTTTGGAACTTAATGAAGCTATTTCAGCATGTCGTTACCTGGTCATTACAAGCACGTAGAGTTTACTAATTTACAAAATTTTAAGGTAATGATAGCAGAGTTCAGATACAATACAAAAGTTCATTACTACTACGTCCACTAAGGTCGAATAGAGGACAGGTTAGGAATACATTTAAATTATTTCTTCTTTTTTTAAATTAATTGTCTCGTTTTTTTGTTGAATAGTATGTATTAACACACAAAAAGTCTTAAAAATTAAATAGTTTTCTATGGACTTTCAAAGCGGCTAAATTACCTAAAGTTAATTTTCATAAAATTCTTGGATCATTCTAGATTTATTTATTTATTTTTTAAATCAGCTTAAATGCTTGATTATAAATCTCCATCTTGCAAAAAAACTTTCTGCATTAGCCGGTACAATAGAAATATAATAGAAAAAGTCAATAATAGTGAGCCTCAAGAGCAACAAAAAGTTCATATAGATCATTGTTACAATCCACAGAGAAAAAAGCAATGAAATTAGAAAAATTTTCCATTTGTTTTTTTTTATTTAATTCTTGTTATATATGGCGCGAAAACTATTTAATTTAAGTAATTACTAATCGTAACCGCAGTGAACAATAGAAAAGTTTCTTCTAATGTAATTAGAATTTGTCTTAGTTAAAATCATTTTAAGAAGTCTAAACTTCCATTTTTTTTTTTTAAATCATGCATTATTCAAGATTTATGTTTTACCAAACTCCTATTGGACAACAGATCTCCATTTTAATAAAAAACTTCCTTGTTTAATAAACTATATTATTTTTAAATGATGCATTTTTTGCGATTTTTTTGTTGTTTTTATCAAACTCCTGTTGAACTACAGGTTTCCCATTTTTAGAAAAAACTTCCTTGTTTAATAAGATATTTTTCTTGAAATCGTGCATTATTCATGATTTTTTTTTTTATCAAACTCCTATTGTACTACAGATTTTCCCATTTTTAGAAAAACTTCATTTTTTAATAAGTTTTAAATCAATGTGAATTAAATTGAACTCAATCATAGAATAAGCTGAGATTCGTCTCCAGTTTTTTGAAACGATGATGCGATGAGAAATTCAACCTACTTCAAAGTACCAGCGTTTTCATAAAAAAAAACAAAAACATTATAATAAACTATTTACAATAAACTTATTTATGTTATTGTTTCTATGACCTGGTAACGTATTGACTATAATTTCAACATAATTAGTAAATCTGAATTAAATGTTTATAATAAAGTATAACCTCAGCATATATTTAAAGTAATTATAAACTTTAAGGATTATAATTGTATTATAATATTATACCTGGTAAAGAGCGGTGGCTGACGAAGTACCAAGTGGAAGTCGTGCTCTGAAGATACCTCTCGATCCAGCTGGTGGACGGCGCACTTGAAGCTACGCCGCCTCTTACCACTCATCTAAATAATAATAAAGATAATAAATAATAATAAACTATCAATATATATAATAGATATATAAGATAAATCCTAAAAGTCATTATAAAATATTTGTTGAAATATAAAACACGAAGAAAAGTAAAGTTTATTGATACATATACAATAAAGTCAAATACATGAAGCAGATTTTTAAATTATAAACCTAATAAATATATAAGAAAATAAATATTACAATTATATCATTTCAATCGTCCATAGTTCTTCATGAATTCATTCAATAAATTTTATTTTAACTTAAATGTTTCCACTTATACTTTTAAATTACGAAAACTCTATTAGAACTGACTGTCAAGATTTAAAATAATTTCTAGAACAAGAGGAACAGACAAAGGACATTAACTCCACGCTGATGGCACGGACGCCTGACACGAAAACTAACATGGATCAGTTAGTGAGTGCTGTCTTCTAGGTTGCCAACTTAATGCGATCTGAGTCTCTTAACCGAAATTATTTTGATTTTCCAATAACATATTATAAACTGACTATTATTAAAATTTATCAAAACTTGATCTGTGAGGTATGTTAAGGGAACTTTCTTAATAAACAGTTAGGCACCTAAGGAGCATTCCATTTAGGCTAAGTAACTTAAGACTGGTCCAACGTCTGAGTGATATTCCATCAGCATTCATTAACATCACAAATATCAAGTTACTATTGACATTTAATTACGAGGCGTATTTACTTCTTAGAATAGAATTTTTACAAAAACAATAATTACATCAATCACAAATTTTCGTCAAATCAATATTCTAATAATAAGGAGTATCCAATTCTCAAACTAATACATGCAAATATGTATTTTAAAAAATGTAAAGTTTTCTTGAGAAACTGAAAACACCTGATATGTATTTTTCAATTCGGTATTCAAAAAAACAAATCAGCTGTCACAGATTATATCTGACAAAATCTTTCTATCGTGCGACCTATTATTTTACCTTCCTCTTTACCACAGCGAAGTTTAGTATCGACAATTAGTAAGCATACTATAGGATCAAAAATGTCCACTAACATTTTACATTTTAGACATCAAGGAAAGTTGGTTCCGTGTCAATCATTAGTCAAATTCTTGTACAGAACACATCACCAATTACCGTTAATCTGATTTTTTTTTAATTCTCTGTGATATCGTTGGTTGGGAGATAGATGGACTCATATCATTTTCATTAAATTCTATCAACTCCTTTCGCTTAAGCAAGTATAAAATTTATTTTCTATTTTCTTCATAAGTCCTAAGAGAGATGTTTATTTATATAAGGTATATGAATAAAGTTAGGTAATAGTTTATTCTCCCAACAATTTTTTTTTATTTATTATCCCACCTTCAGACCGTATCTCATCGTTCTATCATCTAATTTTTTTTTAGAATTGTCATAATTTTTATTTTTAAAAATCATCCCTTAGTTATATTGTGGATTCCTCCAGGGAGAGCCTAGGCTGGTGTCTGACAGTAAAGTAAAGTAAGGAAATCTTCAGCCATTGTGGATTCCTCCAGGGAGAGCCTAGGCTGGTGTCTGACGGCGCTCCCTGGAGGAGTCCACAATATAACTAAGGGATGATTTATGAAAATAAAAATTATGACAATTCTAAAAATATATATATATGGTCTGAAGATGGGATGATAAAGTGATCACGAAACGTCATAAAAATAGAGAAAGATTTTTTTGGCCGAGTAAACTGTTACTTAACTTTATTCATATACCTTTTATTTTTTATATTTCAAGAACGGCTAGTTCTATTTAGCTGAAAATTGAATTTACAGAAACACGCTCTTCAGCCATTACTCACAGGTTCCTTGCAACCAAATCATTCCAGCCATTCATCAAAGATAATCTTGGCTCGGACAAGTTGCCGAAAATACATTTTTCGGACTCGAGGAATATTTGAAAATAAAGATAAAGATAACGAAAACAGGAAATCTAAAATATGAAATAACAGTTTACATCTTCATTCAGAAGACCTTATTTCATTTTTATCAAACCTATTTCGAGATCATTTGTATTCAACTAAAGACGATATTCAACAGCTGGACGAAAACTAACGTTCCATTTTCGGGAAGACAGGAACATCGGCAGGCATGATCGGAATAACTAAGAATAGGACGTGCCCCAAGAAGTTCGCCCAGATCCAAGAAGTCGAATAAAAAACCACCTCCGATTTAGTAATGGGAGGAAAAAGTGAGAGGCGATTGTAAGAACAATCGGAGGGAGGAGCAACGACTAATGAGTTTTCTCGCTGAGAACAGGGTCAGGAAGAGTGTGGGACATTCTCGCGATTTCTACCTTTTAGCCCAGCAATAACAAAGGCCATGTCCTGACGGCTGTTCCTCTCTAGGCAACAATGAGAAAGCACCCTTTGCCAACACCAATCGTCCAAATACATTAATTTAAAAAAAAAAAATCATATGTTGCCAAATTTACTAGTTCGAAAACTATTATAAAAAGTGAACGAGTGAATGAGAGAGAAAGATAGTTGAATTTTTGGATGTTTTCTGATAGGCATCAAAGGGAATTTCAAGGTCTTAGATTCCTAGAGTAACCACCCGACTGTTGGCAGATGAATTTATTTATTCTGTTTCGTCGGCATGATTTGATTCTAAGGTCGGGAGACCCTCCTTGGGGCGCACCCAGCCTCTATAAAGTGAATGCCCTTAAAATAATGCACAACCCTTGACCAAGAAACGGTAATTCCTTACAAAGTACTAAACCCATGACCCTTCATGGGGTTGTGAGTGGCACAGTCTTTTTTTTTTTACATAGGTATCTAATAAACCCCTCAATACCACACCTAGTTTCTCAGTATTCCTCCTTCTTGTTTAGAAATCGAAATACATTAAGGGATGAAGATGGATTTTCATAGATAGATTGTCACTAAGATTGCAATAACTGTATTAGATTTTCAACACACAACAATATAAGCGGATATTAATCCTTCCCTCTCGCCACCAAAAAATATTTAACTTAAAAATTCAATATTATTAAAAAATTTAATGTTTGAATGATAGGTAGATTAACAAAGTGGGTTATTGCTATAAATAATAACCATTTTTAATTTAATATTTAATAACCAATAATCACAATCAACTACTTTTTTAACCCGCTTTTACCTTCCGATTTGAAAACACTCAATGATAGATAAAGATAAGAAATCTGGATTACTCTATTGTCTTCCAGTGACAATTATTACGACGCTAGCCAAGAGAGCCGCTTACTGTTACAATTACAAGAAGACGGTTCGATGGAACTGGATGAAAGGGATGCAGTAGACCACGCGCCAGAGGCCAGGCGACCAGAACACGTGTAAATCAATGTTTATATCGAGTGAGGTCAGTGCACCCCCCTGCACCCCTCTGTTTGTGTTTGTGTCCTCAGGTTGTTACCTTCTTACGTACACATCTGTTTCTTACATCGTCTTAATTCCACTTCCAAACGACTAACTGCCTTTCAAAACCTTTGAGGCGGCCTTCCGAACCAATTGATGTGAATTGTGCAGCAGGAAAGAAACTATAATGAACTTTTATGGGATGGGGAAAAAAAAATCCTACATGGGTATGAGAATACGCAATCATAAGATACAAAAAATATTAATAACTCTTTTTAATGAAGCCCACAAAATAGGTTAAAACTTTCGAAATGATAGTTGAGGAATTTGCTGGTTTGGTCGAACACCATCGACATGAACCTTATTTGTTCAAATAAGCAAACAGATAAATCAGAGTATTGTAATTATTTGGGAGTTTAGAATCAATAATATCCATAACAGCAAATATCTACAATATTTCATAAATGCGATCCTGGTATAAGAAAATAAATAATTATTTATTCATATATTGATTAATTGATAAAACTAGAAGGCATTGCATTGTCATTCCATAACCCCTGATTGTCAAGCATAAATGAAGGGATACGACTTTTGTTTTTAGTTTTCTTCCATACCTTGCTCTTTTGGCCTGCATTGATGTCAGAGTTAAATGCTCCCGGCCTCGAACTCATAATCTTCAGGTTATCATGTTGCCGCGTACATTGCAAATGCATTACTTCATTAGGCCTCTCTTCGATCGAATACGAGCTAGGATTGAATTGAAATTCAAGATATGAGGCAAATGAACCAGCAATAGACGGTTTACAATTCATTTACAGATTAAGCTTTATACGCCCAAACGAGAGTGCATATATGAGTACATTTGCAGTTACCATCCTTATGGGCTGATGAATGAACCTCATCTGATGCCACGACAGCCGATTGGTGGTTGATTTGTGTATGGAGCAAAGCTTGAGTCTGTTTCAGGGAAGTTTCCTTATTACTTTCCTTAGGAGTTAAGTTTGAAATTTTGATTCATTCACCTTTAGTTCGCCATTTCTTAGCTGAAAACTGGGCAGAATTCATTTTACATTTATTTAACTATATAAAAAACCTATTAAACGTCTAAGTGTCAAATAATGATGCGATATAAGCTGCCAGGATTTCCTATTTTTCAATAAATAATTTACTGTATAGAAAAAAAAGATTAGATACACGACCAAATTTTCTGTCAATTGAACCAATTTTTAAAGATATATAATAAAAGTTATATATCATTAGTTCTAAGAAATAAAGCTGTGGTTAACATTAATGTTAGGAATACCATATGCCCCTTGGAATGATTTCCATTCGTTCGAAAAGAAACACAATGGTCTTCGAGACCCTCTACCAGCTCAGACTACCACCGCTCACCATTTACTGTTAATCACCTAGTAATATCATAACTGTCCTCAAATTAAACTAAGTTCCTGCCCTTTTTTTTTTTTTTTGTAAGAGCAGCAATTGTTATAAAGCAGGTCTCACGATAAATCCCGAGCAACACTTATCGTTATGGATAACTAACGGGTCGGTTTCCCACAGCGGTTAATGAGAGAGCCCGTTGTTAATGAGTAACAAAGTTTCCCACCTGACAAAATTAGTCCCATTTCCTCAAGTTTAATTTA